CTACGAAGAAAGGTTGAACCGCTTGGGGCTCTTTAGCTTGGAGCAACGACGGCTGAGGGGTGACATGATCGAGGTTTACAAGATTGTGCATGGGATAGAGCAGGTAGAGAAAGAAGTCCTTTTCTCCCTTTCTCACAACACAAGAACTCATGGGCGCTCCATGAAATTGCTGAGCGGTCGGGTTAGAACGGATAAAAGGAAGTCCTTCTTCACCCAAAGAGTGATTAACACACGGAATTCACTGCCACAGGAGGTGGTGGCGGCTTCAAGCATGGACGGCTTCAAGAGGGGATTGGATAAGCATATGGAGCAGAGGTCCATCAGTGGCTATTAGCCACAAGGTATAGATAGGAACTCTCAGCCTGGGGCAAGGGATGCTCTGTCTTCTTGGTGCTGGGGGGGCGTGGGTCAACAGTGGGAGGGCTTCTAATGTCCTGGCCCCACTGCTGGACCTCCTGATGGCCCCTGGTATTTCTGGCCACTGTGTTGGACAGAGTGTTGGACTGGATGGGCCATTGGCCTGATCCAACACTGGCTTCTCTTGTGTTCTTATGTTTATGTTCTTATGAAAGAGAGACACAGAAGGAGAGACAGAGAAACAAAGAAAGGAAATGGATGGGAGGGAGGGAGGATGTTTCCCCTTCGCTTCCCCAGCCGCCCTGCCGGGAGCCACACAATAGGTGGCTCCTGAGCCGCAGTTTGGCCACCCCTGATCAAGGCTGAGCCTGCATCGATCAGGGGGGGTGGGACCAGATGGCCTGGATGGCCCCTCCCAACTCTGTGACTCTGTGATCTTCAGGCAGCTGCCCAGACCAAGAGAAAAGCGGATGTCGCAGAGGTGGAGCTCAGACATTACATCTGCCCAGGGCTATTTTGGGGCAGGAACGTACAGGAACGGAGTTCCGGCTGGCTCCCAAGTTGGCCACGCCCAGCAGGAACTCCTTAGCATAATAGGCCACACCCAACAGCAGGAACTCATTAGGACTGGCTACACTAGGGGTGTGTGGCCTAACATGCAAAGGAGCTCCTGCTACAAAAAAAGGCCCTGGGTTTTAACAAACAAGGTAAACAGAATAAGAAGCAAAAGGTGGGTGTGGCTGGATGAGCACACTTCTGGTAACATGGGGGTGTGGCCTAATATGCCAATGAGCTGTGCTGTCAGGGGTATAGGCTAATGAGTTTCTGCTGTTGGGTGTGACCTATTATGCTAATGAGTTCCTGCTGGGCTTTTTCTACGAAAAAAAAAAGCCCTGCATCTGCCCGGTATGGCCACACACCCCTCTCATTCTGCGATGCACCCTAGACACGCCTCTTCCTGCCCGCTTTCTGGAATTTTCTTCTTATGTTCTACCACTGGGCCCCCAGATAAGGAGGAATCCAACAAAATGCACGAGCTCTTCCTTCCGGAGTCTACAGACTAGGACCTGGGGGGATATGTGAACCATTAAGCACCACGACAGGCAGGAGTGATGAAGTGGTTAAGGGTCCACAAGGGTTAAGCTGACACTACATATAATAAACATACAAAGTTTATTTAGGTGTACACATTTTAAAAAACTTAATGACTCACTTAAAATATTCACAGTCAGACCTAAAAAACTTCTCAACATTCATACATAGATGGGTGAGTGCTGTGCAACTGAACCAAACGCGTTTCGGCCCCAAAGGGCCTTCCCTCAGTGGTCACGATCCAAAATACAAAGTTGACATACAGTCCAAAAAATATTTACATAAGACGTTAAATATATATGCAGTATAAGGCCAGATGTTATGTCCTTATATATTTATATGTATATTGCTGTTCTATAGGATAGGCCTCAGGTATGGCCAATTAAAGTCCACTAATAATTCCAAATCTGGTAGCATAAACTTGCGTGAGTTGACTGTATGTCACTCCATCCTGGCCTTATACTGCATATATATTTAACATCTTATGTAAATATTTTTTGGACTGTATGTCAACTTTGTATTTTGGATTGTGACCACTGAGGAAGGCCCTTTGGGGCCGAAACGCGTTTGGTTCAGGTGCACAGCACTAACCCATCTATGTATGAATGTTGAGAAGTTTTTTAGGTCTGACTGTGAATATTTTAAATGAGTCTTAAGTTTTTTAAAATGTGTACACCTAAATAAATTTTGTATGTTTATTATATGTAGTGTCAGCTTAACCCTTGTGGATTCATAGCAGCTTTTTGGGTTGAGTTTTCTTTTTTCCCTTACCTCCCCCCTTTTTTTCTATTCTTCTTTTTTTCTTCCCCCCGCCTTTCTTTTTGTTCGTAGTGGTTAAGGGTGTCAGTCTAGTTTCTGGGAGACCTGGGTTCGAATCTCCACTAGCACCATGGAAGCTCCCTGAATGACTGTGGGCCAAGCACACCCTTAAGCCTAACCTACCTCACAGAGCTGTTGTGAGGCGAAAATGGAGAGGAGAACCCTCTAAACTGCCTTGGGTCCCCACTGGGGAGAAAGGCAGGGCACTTAAGAATTAACTAAACAAGTATCACACCAGCAGGAAGCTTAAAAACTCATGAAGTGACTTACCCTTAACAAGACCACTTTGGTGGGGCACTTCAGTATCTCTGTTAAAGGGTTCGAATCCGATTTCTTGGACGCGTCTGCTGTTCAGGAGAAACAGTGAATGGTTCCAAGTTAAATCCTAAATCGTTATTTCATTCCAGTGACATTAAGCTAGCTTACCCCGACATACACTGGACCGGGCGCATTCCACAAAAGCAAAGCATTGATATCGGATCCAGGTTCCTGTATTCTAAAGATCTACCTTTCTGTAAAAATTAGAGGCGGGAAGGGGGAAAGCGACTGCGCTTGGGCATTACAGACGCAAAGATACGTGCTCCGAAGCCTAAGCAAGCCGGGCCACAATGCAGCAATGGGCTTTAAAGGTAAAGGTTTTCCTTGCTCGAAAGCCAGTCGAATCCGACTCTAGGGTTGCGGTGCTCATCCCCGTTTCAAAGCCGAAGAGCCAGCGCTGTCCGAAGACGTTTCCATGGTCATGTGGCCGGCATGACTAAACACCAAGGCGCACGGAACGCTGTTACCTTCCCACCGAAGTGGTACCTATTTATCGACTTGCAATTTCTTGCTTTCGAACTGCTAGGTTGGCAGGAGCTGGAACTAGAGACGGGAGCTCACCCCGTCTTGCGGCACCCGGGTCTTGAACTGCTGAACTACTGACCTTCCACAGCCTGCAGTTCAGCGTCTTAATCACTTGAGCCACCGCAGCTCTCATAGAAGAAATATCAGTGCCAATCATCAAACTTGAACTGCCAAACTACAGACCTTCCGGTCTGCAGCTCAGCATCTTAACCTCTGAGCCACCGCGGCCCCACAATGGGCTTTTTTGTTGTTGTTCAGTCGCACAGTCGAGTCCGACTCTTCGCGACCCCATGGACCAGATCCCGCCAGGCCCTCCTGTCTTCCGCCGTCCTCTGAAGTTTGCTCAACTTCACGTTTGTTGCATCTATGACACTGTCTAACCATCTCATCCTTTGCCGGCCCCGTCTTCTTTGACCTTCAATCTTTCCCAGCTTTACAGTGACGTAAAAAACATTCCTGAGACAGGTTCTGAAGTGAACAGACACTTCTAAAATGGTGAAATTTTTATGAGGCTATTCACGGTTAGATAGGACAAAAATATTAATACATTATGAGAAAATGGTAGATTGTTGAATAGACTGGTATCATGGTTTTTAAAGTCACAATGTGTTATAGAGCTTTCCGAAAAATTCAAGTATTTGAATCAAGGATCGTCCTTTGTATTTGCAAAACATGCCCTTTATATAAGGTTTGGGCAATTTTGCCTTTTCTGCTTTCCCCGTACCCCCTTTTCTTTATTCTGTATTCCCTCAAAAAAGTTCAAAATAAAAATTATATTTAAAAAAAAGGAAAATGGTGAAATGGAATGGGCAGAAAAGAACAAAAAAAGAAGAGCAACCTGAATTCTCCAGTTGCCGTGGTCTTTAAGAACGGCCTTTAGAAGGCCCAGGCAGGCCCGGCCTTGTCAGATCTCAGAAGCTAAGCACGGCCGGCCCTGGCTAGTATTTGGAAGGGCGATGTGATGTGTTTGTACCTTTAAGTAGGTGGTTTGAAAATATCAACGTTAAAAATATCAACGTGTAATAACTTAAAAGAAAATTGTTATAAGATGATGTATAGATGGTATATGACACCAAAAAAAAATGCAAATATGAGTAGTAATATGTCAAACAAATGTTGGAAATGTAAAAAGATAGAGGGCTCATTTTATCACATGTGGTGGACTTGCGAAAAAGCAAAACAGTTTTGGGTTGAGATTCATGCAGAAATGGAAAAAATTGTGAAATGTAAATTTAAGAAAGAACCAGAAATTTTACTTTTGGGGCTTAAAATGGAAGAAGACAATATGGCAAAAAGGACATTGATGTGGTATATGATCACAGCTGCCAGAATGACTTATGCGCAATGTTGGAAACAAGATAAGGTTCCTGAAGTTGGAGACTGGATTAAGAAACTACTTTTCATGGTTGAAATGGACAAAATGACAAAGAAACTTAATAATATGGAAGCAGAAGACTTCTTTGCAGACTGGAGTGTAGCACTGTGGGAAGCGGAGTGGGGGGGGGGAGGGAGGAGGGTAGGATGTATAACTATATAATGTTTGATTTATGTTTGATTTTGTTATATCCTAATAAAATGTTTTTTTTAAAAAAAGTAGGTGGTTTTCCATTATAGTGGAATGTATTTAACCTGATACAATTGGGAGGGTCGGCTGACTCTCAGATGGTGTGATGCTGTTCTTTGCCCTCGGTCTCTTTCTACCAAATAAAGCTGTTCCGTAACGACGACTGGGTGTTGTTGTACTACGGATGAGCCACGTCGCCCGAGAACATTACAGGCGACCTCCGAGGAATACCAGGGTTGTGACGTGGAGCCGGGCCACGGCGAGCCACCTCTGAACGTCTCTTTGCCTCCACGCGCCACTAGGGGTCGCCAGAGGTCAGCTAGACTTGGTGGCAGAGAGAGAACAGCCTTGAACAGGAAAGGCGCCTTGAACCGTGTTACGGAGACAGAGGAAGACCGAGGGGGTAGTGGGTAAGATTGCTGGACTAGGACCGGGGAGACCCAGGTTCGAATCCCCACTCTGCCATGGGAGCGTGCTGGCTGGCTTTGGCACAGAGAGTACTCCATCTTTCCGTGTGATACCTCTGAGGATGCCGGTCACAGCTGCTGGCTAAGCGTCAGGTCCTACAATGCCAAGACCAGTGTTCCCTCTAAGCTGAGTTAGTGCGAGCTGGCTCACAGTTTTTCAGCCTCCAGCTCACACATTTTTTGTCTCCGCACAGGAAGGAGGGCTCCAGAGCAAACTAATTTATGCAGCGGCCAAATGGCTCGCTCACAACTTTAAGGCCAGTCGTTCACAAAGTAGGATTTCTGCTCACAGGACTCCACAGCTTAGAGGGAACATTGCTGCCTAACCTACCTGAGAGGGTTGCTGTGAGGATAAAATGGAGAGGGGAAGGACGTAAGCGGCTTTGGGTCTCCATGGGGGAGAAAGGCGGGGTATAAATGACCCTTTATGGTCAAGGGCCAGCATACCTGACCGACTTTCCCCACGTGTTTCCCAGAGAGCACTGCGTTCAGGGACACAAAACCTCCTAGTGCTCCCTGGCCTTAAAGAGGCCAGACTGGCCACCACCAGGGCTAGGAACGTCTTCGTGGCAGCTGCACACTGATGGAATGAGCTCCCTGAGGACACCCAGGCCCTGCGGGACGGACTTCCGTTCCGCAGGGCCTGCAAGACGGGGCTCTTCCGCCATGCGTTTTTGGCCACATTCCACATCTTGACGTAACTTGGAGCCGCCCTGGGATCGTTTTCATCACCTAAGTCTGTACTGACTGACTCCCGTTAACGAAAACATTGGATGCTGTATGTATGTCTGATGCTGGGAAAGACTGAAGGTCAAAGAAGACGGGGACGGCAAAGGATGAGTGACAGCATACTGTAAAGTATAGCAGACAAGATGACAGCCTGGGTACAAGGTAGTCTACTAGATCATCTTGATCTGAGGTGACAGTGCGTCATGTGACATGTCACCAGGTCTTGGGTTGCATCATCCTGACTACTGTCACCATGAGTCAGCACTACAATTCTGATTGGTGCTCTGATGTATATATGGAGTACAGTCTGTATGGTATTTTTCACTCTGTTGGATGGAATCATATGCGAAGCACTCTGTCGGTTTGCCTGGTGATTGGGAAACTGGGGGGGGGGGGGTCAACAGTGGGATGGCTTCTAATGTCCTGGCCCCACTGGTGGACCTCCTGATGGCACCTGGTATTTCTGGCCACTGTGTGATACAGAGTGTTGGACTGGATGGGCCTGATCCAACATTGGCATCTCTTATGTTTTTATGTTCTTATGTAAAGGACTGTATGTATATAGTTGCTGTAAATAAACCACTGTAAATAGTTCAGCACCTAGCCAACCCAGATTGTGTTGTTATTGGCGCTTCCAATACGCGGACAATGAGATGGTTGGACAGTGTCATAGCCCCACTTCATGGCTCTCCAGGGTCTCAGGCCGAGGTCTTTCACATCTCCTCCTGCCTGGTCCTTTTAACTGGAGATGCCGAGGACTGGACCTGGGACCTTCTGCCTGCCAAGCAGATGCTCTGCCACTGAGCCACAGCCCCACTTCGTGGCTCTCCAGGGTCTCAGGCGGAGGTCTTTCACTTCTCCTCCTGCCTGGTCCTTTTAACTGGAGATGCCGAGGACTGAACCTGGGACCTTCAGCATGCCAAGCAGAGGCTCTGCCACTGAGCCACATCCCCACTTAGTGGCTCTCCAGGGTCTCAGGTCCTCCTGCCTGCCAAGCAGAGGCTCTGCCACTGAGCCACATCCCCACTTAGTGGCTCTCCAGGGTCTCAGGTCCTCCTGCCTGCCAAGCAGAGGCTCTGCCACTGAGCCACATCCCCACTTAGTGGCTCTCCAGGGTCTCAGGTCCTCCTGCCTGCCAAGCAGAGGCTCTGCCACTGAGCTACAGCCCCACTTCATGGCTCTCCAAGGTCTCAGGCAGAGGTCTTTCCCTTCACCTACTGCCTGGTCCTTTTAAACTGGAGATGCCGGGGATTGAACCTGGGACCTTCTGCATGCCAAGCAGAGGCTCTACCACTGAGCCACGGCCCTGCCTTGAGTTACCTTTATCAGCAGCATCGCCGATGATGATTTTGCCGCCCCTCTTGCTGGTCTTCTCTACAGAGAGAGCCGTGCTCAGGCCCTGTTCATGCTTCCCGAGTCCCTGGCCCTCCCGGAAGCCGTACTTCTGCATTATCTTGTGCGCCACGGTGCCTCTGCAGGTAGAGAAAGAGAGGTGTACAATCTGGCGACTGTCCGAAATGGGATGTCTTGAAGCACAGATGTTTCAGGAGGCTAAGAGGACATAAGAACATCAGAAGTGCCCTGCTGGATCAGACCAGGGGTCCACCTAGTCTAGCATCCTGTCTCACACAGTGGCCAGCAACAGGGCATAGCAAACGAGGCCTTCCCCTGAGGTTGCCGCCTGGCTCTGGGGCTCAGAGGCTTAGTGCCTCTGAAGGTGGGGGCTCCCCTCGGCCACCATGGCTGGTAGCCATCGATAGACTGATCCTCCACGAATCTATCTAATCCTCTCTTAAAGCTGCTTATTCCCGTGGCCATCACGACACCCTCTGACAGCGAATTCCACATTTTAAGCACTCGCTGTATAAAGAAGAATTTCCTTTTGTCCGTCCTGAATCTCCCGCCCATCAGCTTCATGGGATGGCCCTTGCGTTCTCTTGGTCAGCTCTTCCCGCCCCGTGCATAATTTGCATAGGCCACACCCTCTGTCATCACCGGGCACCTGCAACAAGCCCCGCCCCCTGCTCCCAGCAGTCCTCAGTCGGGCCACGAGGAGCAAGAAGAGGCCAGGTAAGTCGCAGAGACCCTCCCCCTGACCCGCCTTCAGGTACAAGCTCTCCCTCCTCTGTGAGGGCAGATCTGCGCGTTCCTCCCCCCCCCCCATAACTAGCAATCCAAAACAGTCCAGTGGCACCTTTAAGACCAAGTTCTATTCAGGTACAAGCTCTCCCTCCTCTGCGAGGGCAGATCTGCACGTTCCCCCCCCAGTGGCACCTTTAAGACCAAGTTTTATTCAGGTACAAGCTCTCCCTCCTCTGCGAGGACAGATCTGCGCATCCCCCCCCACATAGCTAGCAATCCAAGAGAGTCCAGTGGGGCCTGAGCGGTGGGTGTTGCCTTCTGACGCACTTCCGGTGATGGCAGGGGGTGTGGCACATGCAAACGAGCTATGCTAATGAGTTATGCTAATGAGCTCCTGCACCTCTTTTTCTACGAAATGACCCCTGGCTATATATATTCTGTAAGCTGCCCTGAGCCTGCCATGGTGGGGAGGGGCGGGATACAAATTAATTAATTAATTAATTAATTAATTAAAAATAAATAAGGAATTGGAAATCTGGGATCGATCTCTCATCCGTCCGCTCGGCATCGACAGCCCCTCAGGACCCGTGAGCGAGGAAGCCAAAGCCATCGCCTGTCACTTGACGTGACCCCACTTCTGCGAAACATGCCTCCAAGTTAGGGTTAACATTCTGCCCACGCAAAGGAGGCCCCCCGCGACCGGTTCCTGCCTTCGAGCCGCCTACGGGCATTTCCCACCAAAGGCCGGCCTCCCGCGAGCACTCACCCCATGTTGGCGAGGAAGGAGTTGCTGGGGCCTGTCGGTGACCGCGGTCTCTCGGGCTCATCGTACATCGGCGGGGGGACGGCTGCTTTGGAGGACGAACCGCGCGGCCGCGACTCTTCTTCATACGGGAAATTCGGCACCGCTGGGAGGGAGGAGAGTTATTTATCATTTGGGCAAAACCAGGGGTCATTTCGTAGAAAGAGAGGTGCAGGATCTCATCAGCACAACTCATTTGCATATGACACACCCCCTGGCATCACCGGAAGTGTGTCAGAAGGCAACACCCACCGCTCAGGCTCCACTGGACTGTTTTGGATTCCTAGCTATGGGGGTTGGGGGGATGTGCAAATCTGCCCTTGCAGAGGAGGGAGAGCTTGTACCTGAATAAAACTTGGTCTTAAAGGTGCCACTGGACTGTTTTGGACCAGGGAGCTGGGCTTGTTGCATGTGCCCACCCCCTGGACTCTTTAGTGCCGGAGCTCTGCTCCTGTGCACTCCTGCAGGAAATGACCCCTGGGCAAAACTATCTGAGTGCATGTTCCCTGATAGCAGACACGAACGTTTTAAGATAGATTCTGGTGTGTAGCTGTGTCAGTTCGAAGCGGCACAACAAAGTTTGGGTCCAGTGGCACCTTTAAGACCAACAAAGTTTAATTCTGGGTATCAGCTTCCATGTTTTTTCTAGAAGAGAAGAGATTGGATATATACCCCGCCCTTCAGTACCCAAAAGGGTCTCAGAGCAGCTTACAATCTCCTTTCCCTTCCCCTCCCCACAAGAGACACCCTGTGACGTAGGTGGGGCTGAGAGAGCTCTCTTGAGGACTGCTAGTGAGAGAACAGCTCTGAGAGAACTTGTGACTGACCCAAGGTCGCACCAGCAGCTGCATGCGGTGGAGTGGGGAATCAAACCCGGTTCTCCCTGATCATAACCCAAAACGGGCAGCAATAACTGTGCAGCTAAAAATAACCTCCTATGCTTCAGAACCAGGAAAGCTGTACATTTGTTCAATCTTAAAAGCCCGCCTAAGCTAAGAACACGGGCTGAAAGGCGTACACCCAAGTCAGTGAAACCTGGCGCGACACCAGTTCTTGCGCTTATGAAGTTACTGGGGCATCCATAAACCTTTCTGTTAACCCAGCTTTTGAATTAAATGGCCAGCTCACAGTTTTTTAGCCTCCGGCTCACACATTTTTTGTCTCAGCTCAGGAAGGGATGGCTCCAGAACACACTAATTTATGCAGCAGCCAAATCACCTGCTCACAACTTTAAAGCCGGTAGCTCACAAAGTAGAATTTTTGCTCACAGGACTCTACAGCTTAGAGGGAACATTGTCGTTTATAGCCTGAAAAATGCTTCTCGTTGTAAGCTGCTCAATGGGCTATGCTCCAGCTGGGCTTTACAGGACCCTTTTTTGGCTGTTTGATGCTCTTATTATATTTTATTTTGTAAGCAGCCTTGGACAGGTTTCCCCGGGGAGGCTGCACAGAAACAATTGAGTGTCAGTGGCAACGCTCCCTCTAAGCTGTGGAGTCTTGTGAGCAAAGATTCTCCTTGGTGAGCGACTGGCATGAAAGTTGGGAGCGAGCGATTGGGCTGCTGCATCAATCAGCTTGCTCTGGAACCATCCCTACTGGGCAAAGGAAAAAAAGGGTGAGCCGGAGGCTAAAAAAACTGTGAGCTAGATCACACTGAGGAGCTGCGGTGGCTCAAGTGGTTAAGATGCTGAACTGCAGGCTGTGGAAGGTCGGTAGTTCAGCAGTTCGAGACCCGGGTGTGCCGCATGACGGTGTGAGCTCCCGTCTCTAGTTCCAGCTCCTGCCAACCTAGCAGTTCGAAAGCAAGGAACTGCAAGTGGATAAATAGGGACCACTTCGGTGGGAAGGTCACAGCGTTCCGTGCGCCTTGGTGTCTAGTCATGCCGGCCACATGACCACAGAAACGTCTTCGGACAGCGCTGGCTCTTCGGCTTTGAAACGGAGATGAGCACCGCAACCCTAGAGTCGGACTCGCCTTGCTTTCGAGCAAGGGAACCTTTACCTTTACCTTTTAGCTCACACTGACTCAGCTTAGAGGGAACACTGCGCTCCGACCCCCTCCCCAGTTTCCCAAACCAGAGAGCTGGCACCTCTTAACCAACGCTCCCTCTAAGCGGTGGGAGTCTTGTGAGCAAAAATTTCTCCTCCGTGAGCTGCTGGCACTAAAGTGGTGAGCGAGCGATTCGGCTCCTGCATAAATCAGTTTGCTCTGGAGCCGTCCCTTCCCGAGGCAAAAATGTGTGAGCTGGAGGCTGAAAAAACCGTGAGCTGGCTCACGCTAACTCAGCTTAGAGGGAACACTGGAAAGCTCAGATTGGTCTTCCCCCAACGGCTTTGATTTTATGCACCGTTCCATCTATTTCTTCCGACCTGGGTGGCCCAGGTGAGCCCAATCTCACCAGATCTCGAGAGCAAAGCAAGGTCGGCCCTGGCTGGCATTCGGAGGGGAGACCTCCAAGGAATACCAGGACTGTGACGTGGTGGCAGGCAATGGCAAAACCACCTTCTGAATGTCTCTGGCCTTGAAAACCCTACGGGGTCGCCAGACGTCAGCTCGGACTTGATGGGTCTTTCCACCACCCCCACCGGGCGAAATGTTCGTAGCAAAAGAATACGATAGCTGGGACACTTTCCCTATGAAGACGGGTTAAAACGCTCGGGGCTCTTTAGCCTGGAGAAAGGACGGCGGAGGGGTGACGTGATTGAGGTTTATAAGATTGTGCATGGGATAGAGCAGGCCGAGAGAGAAGTCCTTTTCTCCCTTTCTCACAAGACAAGGACTCGTGGGCACTCCATGAAATTGCTGCGCGGTCGGGTTAGAATGGATAAAAGGAAGTACTTCTTCACCCAAAGAGTGATTAACACATGGAATTCACTGCCACAGGAGGTGGTGGCAGCTACAAGCATGGACAGCTTCTAGAGGGAACTGGATCAACCTATGGAGCAGAGGTCCATTGGTGGCTATTAGCCACAAGGGATAGATAGGGACTCTGAGTCAAGGACACTCTGTGTTCTTGGTGCTTGGGGGGGGGGGAACAGTGGGAGGGCTTCTAGTGTCCTGGCCCCACTGGTGGACCTCCTGATGGCACCTGACATTTTTGACCACTGTGTGACAGAGTATTGGACTAGATGGGCCAGTGGCCTGGTCCAACATTGGCTTCTCTTCTGTTCTTATGTACTGCCCCTGAACGGGAAGAGACCTAGTTATGTGCCTACAACTGGCTTCTCAAAATATTTAAGAGATGGTCAAAACTGTTGCCCTGTAAGGCACTGGGTTAAAAACTCTATGTGGTCTCCTGCCATCTAGTGGACACTCACAGCATCTCTCAGACTTCATAAAAGCACCTAAGAGTTCCCTTGCATTTCCGCAATGCACCCACCCCCAAGTACAGAAAGGTCCATGTTCTTTCATACGGTGGTCTCCATAGCCTGCACTCCCCCCCCCCCACGCTAATCCTGCATACAGCTCTTGGAGTTCACTTCCAGACAGAGGTTAACTCCGCTCAGAGAACGGAGGGACGGAAGTCGGACCAGAACCAACGGGTTGAAATTAAATCAGAAGAGTTTTCAGCTAAACATTGGGAAGAACTTTCTGACAGTTAGAGCTGTTCCTCAGTGGAACAGGCTTCCTCGGGAGGTGGTGGTGGGCTCTCCTTCTTCGGAGCTTTTTCAAACAGGCTAGATGGCCATTGGACAGCGATGCTGATTCTGTGAACTTCGGCAGATCA